ATTAGCTTCTGAAAGGGGGAAAATAAGCACAGACATAAGTCTTTGCATCACAGTAGAAAGCAATGTGAACAAGCTGTGTGACAGCACTACTCCATATTACACTGAGCACCATCTGGATCACATATCAAGCCATGATATTTTTTCAAGACACTGGGTTCAATGTAAAAATAAAATAAAGTTGAAGTTTACTCAGTCTCAAGCTAGTGATAATTTGTACTTTGCCTCTTTCAGATCTCTCTTTTCTAATATAATAATATAAGTAAAAAGCTTACATATGAAGAATACATATGAAAATTTAAACAGTATTGTCTTTGAGTCCTGTGCTTAAAAAGCCATCTAGTAAAAACTTTCACTATTTCAGGAATATGACCTTCCACACTGCCATTTGCTTTACTCTTGTCACCTCAGTAGTTGCCTCTGCCTTTCAGCATCAGTATCTGAAGCACCAGTCCTGACCTCCTACACCAGATGATCAGTTTCTCATTTATTATTGAAGCCTGCCCCACATCTAGTGACTTATCCACAGTAAAAAAGCACAGCCCTTTCCATTGCCAGTGAGACAGAAAGGAGCTGCAGAGGTTGTTTCTGACAGTATCTGACAGTTGCTTGTTTCCCCAACCTGAAGTATAAGCACTCAACCATTACTTAAGACTTATATGCAAGCCTTTGATAAGGCGTGAGCGTTCATCTCTCAGATCTACAACACAATATATATTTGCTTATCAACGTGCCTCAATCTACAGTTACAAAGAAACAGCACAAAAAAAGTACATGATGGTAGATAAATGCAAATATTATGACTTCGTAAAAACAATGTTTTTTATAACCAGAAAAACACTCAAACTGCACACTGATTTTATTAGCCCCTGCAAAAATGAGATATTCTATGCTATTGCTCAATCAAATGGCTGCAGAACACCATGCAGCTTGTAGAAGTATTGCCGCAGAGTTGCTGCAAAAATGCTGCAAGAGAATGAGAAATGTTACCTATTTTGAGACAATGCAAGCTTCTCTTGGGGCAGAAGTAAAAGGGGAAAAATCACTGCAGTCCTCAAGTACTGGAAAGATGGAAAGATGATAAATGAATCCCATTCAAGTTCTCTTTCTTTCTTCTAAGCAGCTGCAGCAGCAGCAAAGTTCTTCTTTGACATTTAGACAGGGATCTACATCATTTCCTAGTACAACCATGTGAAGAGATTTGAAGACCTCCATCAGTTGCTTCCCCAGCACTTCTAAATATTTCAAACTCTATCTTTCCTTGCTGTAGGCATGCAACCTCACAGTACCACAGGCAAAAGCCAAACACAACTGAGGAGCAGTCATCTTTGCACCTAGTGGACCTGTAAGCACACCTGAATACTCCTCCGTGATCCCTGGTAACTACTCTTCCCCCATCTCCTTATCTTTAGTCCTTTACCATACATATTACAAAGCAGTTAGCATGGGGTATTAAAAGAATCAAGTAGGAAACATCAAGTACATTTATGGCAGATAAAAACGACTGTTTTCTTTCATTCCTCTCTGGCTTACTTCTGTTTCCACTGTGTTACTGGGAAAGGAAAGTGTGTTCTACAGTGTAAATTAGTATATCCATTGAAAGATTCCAATTTCAATAAAATATACAGAGATATTTTAATAAGTATCTTTTGAATTAGCACTCCATACACACCATGACCTTAGCACCTGACTCTGCAGTCTTCCTTCTAGAATGGGAAATTATTATGACAGAAAACTTCTGCAGCAGAATATTGCTTTCCATGTAGTCTTTAAATGCCCCATAACATTCTAAGAGAAGAAACTGAAAAATGAAATAAGAATGCATCTGCATCAGAATATTATGAAAAGAGCATAGTCAGTCCTAAAATTAACTGCTAATTCTTAGTAATTCTTCGTATTTTTACAATGCTTTAGAAAAACAACACTAGATAACATGTGATTTAATGTCCTGCTGACCTATCTTGGTACAGAAGGCTGCTACTGCAATCCTTTTTGAAGACTAACAGCTGAACACCTGCTGAACACCACCAGAGCTTTTCAAGCATTTTTCTTCTGCTGTGGTTTGTTGTCCCATCTGCTAGCTTCAGCCCATTGCATCTATTTCCACACACATAAACACTCGTATTTCTTGTTTACTATGTTGCCCTGTCCTTCACTATCCAGACCTCCTTAGCATAGCTATTCCTACCAGCTATCACTCACTCTTTACAACATATTCTTGAATAACAGTCTCCAGAGAAGTCAGGAAAGGTCTCAGATTTTCTGTCCAGCAGTGTAAAGTAGAACTGCAGATTTAGAGAGGTGATGCCAAAAAATGCCCACAGGTAATAATTTTGAGTCTGGTTACATTAATAGGTTTGTGCCTGTATCTACTCGTGTGTGTAGAAGAGTTGGGTTTTATTCATCTGAGTGTCTGGGAAATAGTTTCTGTTTATAGATGTGCCAGTGAGAAAGAGAGCAGGAGACTCATGGGCAAGCATGTTTGTATTACATTATTTAGCCATCCATCACTCCTCTGTTTAAGAAGTTATTCATTAACTCAAGGACTGGAATAAATATCACACAGAAGGATGAGCTCTTTATGGCTCATGAATAACTTACGGAAATGCCAACACCTGAAATACATTTACTTGTGCTTTTCAGTCAACAGTTAAATACCTATCAAAACCTTCACTCTCTTCTGTTCAGCAGAAGATTAAACAGTTTGCAACAAAGCATCCGATAGGTGGAGGGTGAAACCAGTTAAATTTAATACAGAAGTAGATGCAATTTTATATTTATCACTGTATAACTAACTGATCAATTTGAAAGTGACATCAAACCTTCAGTGATAATTCAGAATTGCAAACACGAAACACACACACCAGTGCAATTAGAAAACAGAGATGCAAAAGTCAATCAGTCAGTTTGAATGCTGGTAGTTAAAGACAAAAAGGAATGCACGACTTCCTCTGGTCAGGTTTGTCGGTGGTTTTTGGTTTTTGTTTTTTTTTTTTCGCAATGAATCACTACTGCCACAGGGAAAATGATCTGTTTCCTTTTATTATCCATAAAAGAGAGAATATATTAAGCAGCAATAAGCTTTCAGAAGGATGACTAACATAACCCTGAAGGCCTTCAGGTTAGAGATCCCTCAAATTTTCCTGCTCAAGTTGTTATGAAATTCATAGAGTTTCCTTTGGTAAGTCAGAGAAGTTTAACACCTTCTAATCCTTTTGACATAAAAAAATAACCGATCTTTTCTCTGTCTTCTATCATTCACAGTCAGTCTTTCCTACCTCACATTTTTTTTCCAGGTGGAATCATTTTAGTTTTGCTTTCTTTCACATAATCACCGTGTTTCCTGTTTTCTCTTCTAATTCTCTCCATTTTTCAAGATTATGTAACTCAAAGCATCATTATGTTATTCCTATGATTCCCTCATAATTTGCAGGGAAGGAGCAATTGGTGCTGTCAGCTCACTGCTTTGGATTTGGGATTCTGTCACCATAAACTACAGCAGTGGCTACTGATGTGAAACACAAAAAAAAAAAAAGCTGAAAAGAGCCTTCTGAGCCACTTGCTGTGTACAATTAATGAGACACTTCCTCTTAAGGAGGCTTCAACATCAATAAATTCATGGAAAGCCAGGCACACAGATGTGTGAAGATTTGAACATCTTTAGGCGTTTTTTTTAAATTACTTTTTAAAAGCCAAAATCTCTGTAATATGGAAACATGATTTTCTTCATTAAAACTAAACTGGTAATGCTGTAAACACATAAAGGGAATTTTTTATGATGCAAAATCATACATTTCCCAAGGCAACAGCAAACTTCGTATGGATGCATACTAAAACACTCACAAAGCATTAACGTGCATGTGAAAGAAACAGAAAATGCAGTTTGCCTTTATATTTGTATTTACTGAGGTCCTTTTTAAATATAAGACCTGTTGAGGGAGTTCGCAGAACAAAAAGGTTACAGTAGAGGGAGAATCCTGAGCTGAGTGAATTCATGCTGATGCTGATGACTAAGGTGAAGTTTTCAAAAACATGTCAGATTTGTCTAATTGTTTCTCTGCTGAATTTGGTAGATGTTCCAATGACCTCAATTGGAAATTAATGACAACTCTACCTGCTTTTGAATATCACACTTGAGAAGTCTGAACCAGCTCCTTTGTCTGAGCTAAAAAAAACTGATGGAGAACACTCAGAGATTTCACTAAGCATTAAAACAAACCTAAACACTTACAGCTCAGAGCGGTGGAACTGAAGTTAATGTTAACAGTAGCACAGTTTGGAAGGATGACAGCATTTATACTCATGTTAACTTTTGAAGGTGATCCAAGTCATCAAAATGATTAAAGCCATTTTCCTCTTAAAAGAAATTTTAAATTGTGTCAAATGTAGACCAAGGGTCAGATTTTATAATTCTTTCAAGTTCTCCCATAAATTCTTTCAGACAGATAATTTCAAACAGAACTACTTAATTAAAGCAGTTTCACTCTCAAATGATAGTTAACTTACACAGGCTTAGAGTAAGATATAATTTTACAGTATCTGCAAATACTGGTGCACAGTACTGCATATAACAATGCATCATATAATTTTCAGTTTTAAGAAGTCACACACAGCAGTAACACCTTTTTTGTATTTATTCACCAATGAGACTATTCACCAAATAAGAATTCTCAAAGCATACAATAAAGCTGAAGATGGATCATTATGGCTGCAGATGACAAGGACGGTGTGACTTATGGACACAGCCATCACATCAGATTGCACTGCTACAGTACTCTTGTTGGTAATTTGCCATTTAGGGTTGTTCACTGCTATACTGCTATTAATTTTTTCAGAGAACAATTTTTCCTAAGACATTCGGATGATACATGGGTAGCACAATTAAAATGCATCATAACATAGTAGGAATTTCATTCGCTTCAATGAAAAGACATTTACTATTACCAGAAAATTACTTATAGCGTAAGAACTATAGCGCATCAAAGATCAAGCATGTTAAGTACCTGAATGAAAGGGAAGAGCAGTCCGACTGCAAAGTTGCAGAGCCAGTTGACTGTCCCAGCTACCATGAATGCAGCCGGCCTCTGAGACTGCTGGAAAAACTCTCCTGTGAGGACAAACGGGATCCCACCTGGAACAGGGTCCAAGAAGGTGGTGGTTTTAGTAAACGTCCTCTGCCAACGCTTTCTTTAATAACAGAGGCAAACACACTTTGTGTTGCACATTTCATCAGCAAGCATTTCTGAGCAGATAATACGATTTATCAAAACCATATTTGAGAGGAATGTGACGTTTTGTTGTTTAATGCCACTGCATCTTAGTGACAGGAAACAGAGAATTCACACAACTTCCAGAGTGCCACGTGATGAGCTGGTTATCAGAATAAGAATCACCATTTCTACTAAAATGCTTGAAATTCTGAAATTTGAGAAATATTCCAAAATACTTTTAGGCACTAAAACTAGAAAGATGGCTCTGAAGAGATTAAATAATATTTTTGGATAGTTATTGCCCACTTAATTTTAGTAATAAAAAAGCAAAGCATTTGCTGCTCTGTAGGCACATTTTTCATTGATGTTTATTTAACACGTTCACTAGTTGGCACTTCTGGCAAGGTCTATTCTTCCCATCACCCAAGGACTGTGACCTCCACAATACCAAGCTCTGCAGAATAGTACACTTGTCACTCGTGTTTCCTTCCACTTAGACAGTGGGCTATTTTGTACAGCACTGGCATGCTGTTGGCCTGACAATAACCCTTGGGGAACAGCTGTCTAGTGCTGAAAGTCCTGATTTTTCTTTGGCTTCTTTCATTTTTAGTAGGATATTTCTATAGAAATATCACTGTTTTCATAGAATAAAACATGAATTCTAATTGCTAAGTGGATACTTATTACAGTTAATTAGACACGTCTGCTTGCAGGATTATTTTGTAGCAGTTTGGAAAAAAGTTAATCTCATTACATTAGTCATGTTTTCAGTAATCTGTTGCAACCAATTCCTAACTCAAGAACCTCATGTCTGCCTTTGTTATTATGCCTCATTTTCTGCATTACCACTTAGCTTATCAGGTAAGATCAGAGAATCCTTAGAGTTGGAAAGGACCTCTGAAGGCCATGTAGTTTGACTCCCCTGCAATGAACAGGGACATCGCAGCCAGATTAGGTCACCAGGGCTTTATCCGGCCTCGCTTTCAAAATCTCCAGGGATGGAGCATCAACCACATCTCCCTAGGCAACCTGCTCCAGTGCCTCACCACCCTCATTGTGAAATATCTTTTCCTTATATCTGACCTAAATCTCCTCTCTTAGACTTTGAAACCGTTTCCCCTTGTTCTGTCACCACAGACCCTGTTAAAGAATCTGTCCCCTAAGATCCACTACTCATCCCTTATGTAATTCCTTTAGCTGTTTTAGGCATTTTAACCAGCTAATATGAACAATCAAAATCAGGTGAATTTCAGGAAAATCGGGTTGATAGGGACACATTTTCTCTCAAAAACCCCTATGACAATCCTCTTTCCAAAATACACATAATTTAAGGTGAAAACATCATAGAAGACTCTGTACACACACTGGATCTTCCTCTTACATGTTTTTGTTTCATCTGTGTGCTTATTTTTTGTTCTACTCTTTGAATTCAGACTGCATATTCCCTTCCCAAAGGACAGCTGTGAACACATGGAAGTGCTGTATGGTGATGCATTGTCATACAGCCCCTTGTGCTCAGAGCCACTGCACTTAAACACGTGCACTAGAAACTGTTTCAGATAGTGACTTGTAAATACAGAACAGGATATGCAGTTGACACATTCTCAGATATTCACAGAATCACAGAATCACAGAATCACCCGGGTTGGAAGGGACCTCAAGGATCATGTAGTTCCAACCCCCCTGCCTAGCAGGGCCACCAAACACACACATTCAGATCAGGTTGCCCAGGACCCCGTCCAACCTGGCCTTGAACACGTCCAAGGACGGGGCATCCACAACCTCCCTGGGCAGCCCGTTCCAGGGCCTAACCACTCTCCTTGTATAGAACTTCCCCCTAACATCCAACCTAAATCTTCCCTCCTTCAACTTCGATCCATTTCCCCTAGTCCTGCTGTTGTCAGCCCTTTTGAAGAGTTTACTCCCCTCGTGGGTGTAGGTTCCCTTCAGGTATTGATAGGCTGCAATGAGGTCACCCCGCAGCCTTCTCTTCTCCAGGCTGAACAAGCCCAACTCCCTCAGCCTGTCCTCATAGGGGAGGTGCTCCAGCCCCCTGATCATCTTAGTCGCCCTTCTCTGGACCCTTTCCAAAATCTCAATGTCTTTCTTGTACTGAGGGCTCCACACCTGGACACAGTACTCCAGATGGGGCCTCACAAGAGCCGAGTAGAGAGGGACAATCACCTCCCTGTCCTCCATTTCAGATCTTTCATACTCAGAGACCATGATCATGTGCATAAAAGGAAGGCAAAGTAATGCAGAAAAAAGTTAGATTATACAGTATAGGCAGTGCCCCATTATCAACTTTGACTTTTTGTGAGAATATATTTACAACTGTAGCAAATTCAACTTTTTGTTCCAAAGACTGTCAGTATAAATTACACATACAGAAGTACAGAGCAAATAAATATTTATTCCTATTTTATACGTAGGAAACAGAAACACTAAGTGTTTGGGTCATCCGTGCCCCAGTTTAAAAGTCTTTCCACAAGTCACAAGTGGTATCCAAATTCTTCGACCAAAAAAGTGACCACTGCCAATAGTACTTTGACTGTGTAGAACAAATAGCCAAACAGGCATGACTCACTGAAATGATGTATCAGTCCTCTGTGGTTTACAGTGCCTATTTTGTCATGTACTTGTGATTGGGGTTCAAATCCTATACTATGGCAGGCAAAATAACAATCACATCTGTCCTGCCAGTACCTGGTTTAGGTCTCAAATGTCACACGAGGGAGTGGTTTGCCAGTGCACCAGCCTCTCACAGTGAAGAACTGAATGACTGGATACATAGAAACCATGGAAGTTATTCATTTATGATCATTTATTCTGGCGTGCCTTTGCTGTAGGATAGTCTCCAGAGGTGTTACCGTTCTTGTCAGTATAATAAAAATGCTGTTCTGGATCCATTTGAGAAAATACACATTGTACAAGAGAGAAAAAAAGCCAGAGGCAAAAATGAAAAAAAAAAAAAAAACGTTCAGGACAGAAACATATCAGAAAGAATAAATGTTGTGGAAATAAAAATGCATAAGCATTGTTAGTAAAAAAAGGTTCCTTGAAATTCAGATAGTAGTATTTGGATACATATTAATAATCACTGCAGATTATTATTAGTCCTGCTTATCACAAAAGCTCTTCAATCTAATTTGAAAATTAATCAATTAATCTCGTGATGGTAAAAACAGCATATTGAAAAGTCTAAAAAAAAAAAAAAAAAAAAAAAATTTAGCAGTTCCTTGGAGCTCTCAAATGTCTACAGCATAAAAAGAGGAAAGGTGCACAACCCTCAGGCAGAGCAAATCCTCAGACTTTCTCATGGCATAGACAAGAATTCCACAGCATCACAAAGCAGAGAAAGCCAGGTTATATAGAAGGATGACTTAAGAGAAATATATGAAACAATCAAGGAGCCTGAAAAGTAATTGGTGAATTAACTGAAAAACAGGACAGGCCTAAAGACAAATGAAAAAGTGGATGAAAGTAGATCGTAGCTGTATATTGCTACATGCCAGGAAGAGCAGAAACTTGACCTTACTAGGATGTAGAGCAGGGGATACGAAAGCCTACCAAGAACCATTTCACTCCTTAGTGGAGTGAAATGAATAGAGAAATTATGATAAGCTGAAGGAAAAATGTAAATCCTTAAAATGCCAACAGTGAAGGCACCTGAAATCAGCTAAATTCATAACCCCAAGCATCCACCCATCACCAGCCATTTCAAGGTGCAGAGCTACTCAAAGATCTTTTTTCCCCTTTTTCTCTTTGAGAAAAAAATTCAAGCGCGTGACTGGGAAGAAAGCTGCAATATGCTTTGAACTGGTCAAGCCATTTTGTAGAATGTATCACTACTGTCTCTGATGCAGGTTTGATCCTCATTCTCTATCTTTACAGAATCTCAGGATTTTCCACACTGTTTTTTGAGTGGTTTAGTCATCACAACAATATGTCATCTTACCAACCGCTCCTTACAGTTAGTTTCAGTGTAAGATACCCAATGAATTAATTGATCCGTGCTGGCTGCTGTTCAATGGTTGCTTGGAAACCAGAGCTAAAAGCAGGCTAACCAATCCACTGCCTTTTTGAAACAGTCTTAAAATGTTTTGTCATGAGTTTTGCAGCCTCATAAGCTTAAATTTGGTTAAACGGCTTCATCATAAAGCTAAATGGTATTCTTCCTCATGGGTGATGAATCTGGAAATAGTGTTTCCATTAGGAGAATTTCCAAGCATTTTTCAGTGGAACAGCATTATTTTAGCACTGATCAAAAAATGAAAACACATATTATGACTTCCCATAAAACTTCAGCAAAATAGGTTCTGAACATTAACTTAGAGGAGTAATGCATTGACCACAATACTTACAGCAATTCATTTCTTATACATTCCTGTTTTCAGCATTACAGCGAACACAATGGAAGAAGCTCTTGACATATTACAGTGCCACTAAAGATTTTTCCACCTGTTAACATGATACTTCTATTGGAAATTGCACATTGCTATTGCAAGCCTTGTATACCAATGATCTGCTTAATGAAACTAGACTAAGCCTATATGACAGAATTTGATATGCACCAAAACACTTATATCTGTGCATTTTACTCATTTTCTTCCATTATTAGTGCAGTTACACATAGATTCAATGCCACTTGATGGCAAACATCCAGAGTCTCAACCAAATAGACTATTGCATATGAAATTGGAATGATAGAACAGAAATAATATTCTTGCTGTACCAGCTAAAGATTTTCAAATATATATTTACATTTGCATGAGTATCAATACGCTTTCCTTTCAAAATATAAAAAGCACATATTGACTGCAGTTACAAAAAAAAATACTGATTAGCGAGAGTTATTTGTTTCAACACAAAAGTCTAAACACAGAAAATGTGAAAACTGAAGGAAATACAGAGATCCTAA